CCATTAGGTGGCAGTAAAGTTCCAAATTAATGTTTTCCAACCGTCAAAATAAATCCAAAGAAGAAGAAGTAGTAGTAGTAGAAGAAGAAGAAGAAAACAATGGTAATCAACTCCTCAGCAGCAGGGATTCGATCTTTCCACATTTTATCATTTTTAAGCAGCTTCGAGCGGCTGAGCTGCAGACTGAAGTTAAATTATAATCTCTCTGCTGTCGGACAGAAGACCACAAGACGAGGTAAAAAAAAAAAAAAAGCTGTTTAATTACTGAAATTACTAGCTTGGACGCTGGAAAATATTATGTCGAGCTTCCTTTTTTCAAAATAAAAGTTTTGTTTCAAAGTTAATTATGCACATTTATTGCAATTTTCTTGTTATAAACAGCATAATGTCACTTTTGTTAATAGCTATTTTCACTAAAAACCTGTATCACGTCACACATATTTGCATTTTTTTTATGTTAAGGAACGAGTTGTCAGAAATTTATTGTTTTGATTTCAGAGCTGAATAGCTCAGCTAAAACCCTCCAATATGATCAGAAACCAGATGTGCCGAAGACTGGAGGCCGAAAGCTGTTTTTTGATACACATGCAGTCGTGCGGCTCTTTGAAGAAAACGGTTTGTAATTCTAATTTATTGTCAGATTTTTAATAATTTATGTTGCTTTATTTAATTTTTTTTTTCTGCTCATCAGGTTTCACTCCTCAACAAGCTGAAGTTGTTGTTAGYTTGCTGCTGAACACAAGTAACTCCAGTATGGGTGTCATTTATAGTGACATGGTGACAAAAGTCCAACAGGTGAGACTGGAGGAGGAAGGTAAAGASATATTTCAGATCTTTTAAAATGCAAAATGTTAAATCACTCTAAAAAYCTGAAACACCTAAAGCTGAGTTAAAGCTAGAAGAAGCTGAACAATAGCCAAAAGGAGAAAATGATATTAATTTTACAAAAAGCTAGCTAAAACCTTTAAAACGTGCCTAATGTAGCAAATTCATAGCTAAACGTTATAAAATGTTAGCTGAAAGGTAAAACTAGCAAAAGCTTTAGGTACGAAAAGGTTAGCTAAAACATAGCAAATGCTATAAGTAGCACAAAAGTAGCTATAATGTTAGCTCTACACTTGCTAAAAGGTAAAAATTGCAAAAATGATCCAAAGAGAAATACTATWAAACACTTTCTATAAATTAAAAGTAGCAAAATGCTKGGTAAAAGAAACCATGTGCTAACTAGAAAACCTAACAAAACTAAATGGCAAAAAGCTACCTAAAAAGTTAAAGCAATTTTAGCTAAAATGTTAAAGTAACTATTATATAAACAAATTTCCTAGCTAAAAGTGGCAAAACTCCACCTCAGAATGAATGCTAGCTAAATGCTACAAAGAACTATTTAAAAACCTAAAGTAAAATGCTAGCTAKAAGCCAAAAATAGCAAAAGGCTAGCTATAAACTAAACATAGCAAAATGTTAGCTACCAGCTCTAAGCAAAAGGTTATGAAAATGCTAGCTTAAGACTGAATGCAGCAAAATTCATGGTAAAATCAGCAGAAATTTAGCTAAAAGTAGCTAAAAGAAATACTGCTGAATGCAAAAAGTAGCAGAAAGCTAACTGCTAAAGTAGCAAAATGACAGCTAAAAGCTACAAGCCTTTCAGCTCAGTTTCAGCTTCTGCAGTCGTTCATCTGCATCATTAACTCTGGTTAACATAAAAACAAATCTTCAGCTGCATGGCACCTGTACTCACACAGCGTCTGGTYTATTTTTACTTACTGTATCTGTACACATTTTAAAGCTGTTTTTTTTATATGTTTTAAACTGTTTATCTGTTCTGCTTGTGCTTTTATTTTGTTATTTGACAGGAAGTGGCGCTGCAGCAGGTGATGTCTAAAATRCAAGCAGTAAAGAAAGACATGATCATCCTGGAGAAGAGCGAGTTCTCCGCTCTTCTGACAGAYAATGAGGTAAATATATGTGTTTTAATTTGTTTGTTTTCTAATCAAATGTTTTTAATATTTTATTATTTCTCTCAGAAACTAAAGATCCACCTGCTGCAGCTGAAGGTTCAACTGACTGTAAGTGGGTTTAACGATTAAAGTTTAAATTGCAGATTGTTTAACTTTTACTTTAAATATAAAGTGTTTCTGATTGTTTTTCCTGCAGGACGTGATGAATAAAGTTCGCTCAGATAACGCTCTGGATATGAATTTGGAGAAAAGCAGAGTGAAAATACTGGTGAGTTTTACTTTAAATCATTTATAAGACTTCTTTTTTACAGTTGAACAGCATACGACTTTTGTCACGAAAGTATTTATTTATTTATTTATTTATTTATTTATTTATTTATTTACTTACTTACTTACTTTTAATTTGTTTTATTCTGAAAAATGAGACCCCTGCTGGCAGAACGAGTCACATAATGGAAATTTTCAACATTTAACTTTATTTACAGGAGTTTTTGTTTGAAAACTTGATTTTCTTCAGTCTAGTCCGTGGTGATGTCGTCCCCAAACCTTACGATGACTTTAAACTTCCTGGATTTACTGTAACCAGCAGAGAAAAATGGTCAAAGGGTTAAAAGATAAAGGATTATTTCTGAAGACAAACCTGTTACTTTACACAAATATTAATGTTAATTTTGTTTTTAATGACGACTTTTAAGACTAAAGTCCTCCTCTATCAGCACTCAGTGTGTGGAGGACTGTCAGCTACTACCACACTATATTTCAGCTCAGTGGCTTTAAAACTGATTTTCTTTTCCATTTTTTATGCTTCTTAATGTCAGCAGGCATTCTGGACTAAATTCTCTGTATTGCTAAGAATTTAGTTATATGATACATATCAGGTCACGATACAATACATTGTGATATATCGTGATACTTAAAGCAAGGCGATATATCACCATCTTTTTCTGCAAACGATTCTGATTTAAAAAGCATTACATGCATAAAATCTGATTTAAATACAGTTTATTTTTATGCCTTTGTGAATTAATACACTATCAGAAAATGAAATATTGAGATATTTTATTGTATCAATATTTTTACACCCCCCAGTCTCCTCCTGTCACGCCCCTTTTTATGCATAAAATCTGTTTTTTATAATTGTCAGTTTATTTTATTTTGTCTGTTCATTTATTTTTTTATTCTAGAAAGCAGAGCACGGGAAGAAGCTTCTGGAAACCCGAAGAGAGATCATGGAAATGGTTTGTAAATTTTTTTTCTGATTTTAAGAAATCAAGCGTTAATAAAAACTAATTAAAACAAACTAATAAACATTAATGAGCAAATAAAACCCTCCAAGCTGCTAAAAATCCTGAATATTTATTAATTTCCCTTAATAAACGTAAATAAAATCAGTGGGACATGAAGAGAAAAAGTCAGATTTTGTGTTGAATATTGAAATAATTAGTCTGATAAAGTCTCAGCTTTTATTTTGTAACTTCCTGTTTCAGGCGGCGGAGCAGGACGGTCGTCTGACTCAGACTAATATGAATATTGACACTGAAGTTGCCGGTTTGAAAACCATGTTGGAATCTCATAAACTGGACACCATAAAGTACCTGGCAGGTGAGACGTTGCCCCAGTCAAGATGGCCGCCGCAGCTAATCGAGACTCAGAGTTTAAACTGAGTGGTAGAGTCTGAGTCGTCCTGAACTCAGCAGGATTATTAAATAACATTTCCTCCTCCAGGTTCAGTCTTCACCTGCCTCACCATCGTCCTGGGATTCTATCGCCTCTGGATGTGAACTGGGACCCTGACGTGGTTCGAAGMCCGGCCCCCTGCGACCTTCGACCTCACTCTTCCTCAGGTTTTATTAAGTCGAGCTGAAATGAAGACGTCTACGTTTGATTTGATGAGTCGTGGACGGAAGAAGCTTTGAGTCGTTCAGTGATTGTTGTTCAGATTCTGATTAAAAACTTTGGTGCCTTTTTTACCTGCTGTGTTTTAAAGTCACCAAAGAGGAGCTGAACTTCATCTGGGTCAGAACCAGAACCAGAACCAGGTTTAAACCCATGAAGAGCTCAAATTATCATTATATTCCATCGCTGCTGAATGTAACACAGGCATGTTATTAAAGCTGCTTATTTATCAGCTTTAAATACAATATTTTAATCATTTTGTTATGTTACTTAGTTTTATAGTCAAATATTTTTTAATCAATTTAATGCTTTTATTTGAGGATAAAAATGCAAGCTGTTCATTAGTTCARTTTAAATTAAAGCTAATGGGTTTGAATTTGTGGTAAATGTTTTTGTATAAAGTTTTGATTTAATTTTTTTTGCCTGATTTGTGCACTGAATGTTCATTTGTGGACATGTTTTTATTTTTTTAAATAAAAACTCATACTGGTGCTGCTCCTTTTTCTTCATATTTTGACTAAAATGTAATCATTTCCAGGTTTTCTAAAAAAATAAAGTTTTTCTTCCTTTCACTATTCATTTAATTTTTGCTTCGTTTGCAAAAATGTAAAAGGTATTTTTGACCAGATAAAAACAGATTTTCCTCCAGCTTGAACATTTTTTTAATGTTTACATTAGATTCCGTTTATTTTGAAAAACACTTGAACCGGAAGTGTTTCGCTTTGGGCACGTGTTTGTTCCTGAGAAGCATTTGCAGGTTAACAGCTACATACACGACGCTGGGATGTAATGTGAGTGAACAAGTATGTAAAGCACGCGAAATATAAACATTTGTGTTTTTAAAAGATTGGAATTAGCAGCTAAGCTAACAGCTACAGCTAGTGGTTAGCACGTCATACAGGTGAGGTTTATTCTTTAGAAAAACAGTTTCATTTTTAATTTAAAGTCTCTGGTTCTTGCAACCGAGCCTAGTTTTATCCATCTTCTCTCTAAATAACGTCCAGCGCTGTTTATTTAACAATGTTTTCTTATTTTCGTTAGTTTGTAAGCGTCTCCTGTTGTCATGGCTGATGCGTTCAGTAGCAGCTCGGAAATCGTAATTCTGCGAGTCTCGGACGTCACCGTGAAGAAAAACACTCCGGAGGACAAACTTGAAGAGTTTTATCAGATTAGAAAGACATGCGAGTTCATCAAAGAGCACAACTTTAAAAAAGTGAGCACATTAAATGTTTTATTTATTGTTTTTTTTAATCTGTTATTGAATAATGTAATTCATATCTTGCAGGTTGCTCTTCAGTTTCCTGATGAGCTGCTGGTTGATTCAGTGGCAGTGGCTGAGGAGATTGAGAGAAACAGTCAAGTCAAGACATATATTTTAGGAGACACGTCTTATGGCAGGTAAAACAGTATTTATTTGACCTGCWGTGTTTGTGCAGAATCACACTGTGTAAACATTTCTCTGCAGCTGCTGTGTGGACGGGGTTGCAGCCGAACACGTTGGAGCTGACTGCATCGTGCACTACGGCGGCGCCTGCCTCAGCCCGTCCAGACGACTTCCTGTGAGGTACGTCTTCGAGAAAAGACGGCTGGACGTGGACACCTGCTCCTCGTCCTTCAGAGACCTTCATCCTGACCCTGAGACGCACGTCGTCCTCCTCTACGATGTCAACTACCACCACGCTGTCGGTGAGATTATTCAGTTATTTACACTCTGATGATCCTGRTGACCTGTCTTCTGTAGCTGTTGTGTGTCTAAACAAGTAACATTTTGTGTTTTTGTTGCCAAAAACCTTCAGCTTTATCAGGTCATTTCAGCTTAGACTTTATTTAGTATCTTTTATACATATTTCCTATAGAAACACATACAGTAACTTGATTTGTTTTTTTCAAAAATATTGTTTCTTTCATTAAAATCTGCTTCAGAATAAAAACTCTAGTTTAGTTTACTTATTGTACTTTTAGTTTTTAGTTTATATTTTGTTACTTTCATGTTTTATGTAGCTACGGTTCAAGTTTTGTGTAGCTGTAATTTGTTTTTCTCCTTTTAGCTATAAGATAATGTACTTCTGTTTTTACATTTTAGATATTAGTTTGCTTTTTGGTGTTTAGTTAGCACTGCAGTACTTTCAGCATTTAGCTAGTGTTCCTTTTCCTCTTAGCTTTTAGACATTTTGCTATTTTAACTTTTAAATAGCATTTTGCTGCCTTTATTCAGTGTTAAGCTACATTAAGATTTAAGTTTTTTATTTTCACTTATGCTGCTAAACATTTTTCTAGTTTTAGCTTTTAAATAGCATTTTTGCTACATTTAGGAAGCATTTTGCTACTTTCTGCTTGTACCTAGTTTCTGTTTTTAGCTTTTAGTTAGCATTAGGTTAGTTGTATTTTTCTGCTTTTATTATGCTGCTGTTACTAAATGGTTCCTTCTTATAGCTATTAGCTAGTGTTATTCTCACTTTTAGCATTTAGATATTTTTCAAATTTTAGCTTATATTTGGTGTTTTTTAGGTTATATTTGGTGGGGTTTTTATCTTATATTTGGTGTTTTTTTTAGCTTATATTTGGTCTTATTTTTAACTTATATGTGGTGGGGTTTTAGCTTATTTGGTGTTATTTTAGGTTATATTTGGTGTTTTTTTTAGGTTATATTTGGTGTTTTTATAGTTTATATTTGGTGTTTTTTATATTAAATTTGGTGGGGGTTTTAGCTTATATTTGGTGCTTTTTTTTAGTTTATATTTGGTGTTTTTAGCTTATATTTGGTGGGTTTTTTAAGCTTATATTTGGTGTTTTTTATAGGTTATTTGGTGTTTTATAGTTTATATTTGGTGGGTTTTTTAGCTGTGTTTTTTAGCTTATATTTGGTGGGTTTTTTAGCTGTGTTTTTTAGCTTATATTTAGTGTTTTTCTTTTAGTTTTTAGTCAGCATTCAGCTGTGGGTTGGGTCATGACCTTTGACCTTTAGCTGTTTGACCTGAATCCATCTTGTTTTCAGGTGATCTTCTGGCCCGTCTCTCTCTGGAGTATCCGAACCTCGTTGCCTCAGAGCTCGTTATGGAAGGTGATCAGAATAAGCCCCGCCTCTCTGAAGACCAGCAGGTGGTCTGTCAGTTTGGAAGGCGGTTCGTCTTGAAGAGTGGGACCACCCTGACGGATTACAGGATGTTCTACGTTGGCCAGGAGGGGGCGACRTTACGGAACTTCATGATGACGTGGAACCGCTGCTCCTTCTGCTCGTTTGACCCTGACTCGTCGACGGGGAGGGCGGAGTCTGTAAACGTTAACCGCGCTCTGATGAAGCGATACTACGCCATAGAGCGGGCCAAAGATGCCGGTGTGGTGGGCATCCTGGTGGGCACCCTGGGCGTGGCCGACTACCTGGCCGTCATCCAGCAGCTGAAGGAGGCGGTCCACCGGGCCGGGAAGAAGAGCTACCTGTTRGCCGTGGGGAAACCCAACGTGCCCAAGCTCGCCAACTTCCTGGAAATCGACGTGTTTGTGCTCGTGGCGTGCCCCGAGAACTCGCTGCTGGACTCCGGGGAGTTCTTCAAACCCGTGTTGACGCCGTTTGAGATGGAGGTGGCCTGCAACAGGAAGAGGGAGTGGTCCGAGGAGTACGTCACCGACTTCAGGTGCCTCCTGCCAGGTCTGACCTCCATGTTTGAAGGGATTTTTAAATATTATTTATGTCCTACATGTGACCCATCATATCGAAATGAGGTTTAAGTCAAATTTAGTCAAAATGACCAAATTACATAAAGGCTATATTCTGATACCTGGATCATTCTAATGTCCTAAATTTATCCAGAGATATGACTTAATTTGTCTTGTTATGATAAAACATTACTGTTTGGTCTGAATCCTAATTTTATGTAAATTTATTGAGTAATTTTTAATGCAAATTTAAAGAGGAAACCCTTAAATAGTATTTGAATATTAAGATTTCCCAGTTGAAAAGAAACAAAAACTTTGCTAGCTCACAGGGAAAAATTWAAAATTKTAAGACGTTTTTCCTCAAAATCACATTTTTTGTTGCCATTGCTGAATCAATGCTTCAAAAAAAAATTTTTTTAGTGTTATATTTCAGACAGTTCATTCAAATGATACATTGATAAGACATTAATTCATTATATTTTGACAAAATGCAATTTTTGCACACGTTTAAATCAAAACCCTTTCTGCCCATTTCTCCACTTTTGGACTTAATCCTCGTTTCAGTGTGACGGCTCARATTTTAAAACGAAGAAACTGTTTCCTTTATGTATTTCTTTCTTATTGTAGTTGTAAATCACAGCATCCTGCAGTRCTTCACAATAAGAGCCTCAAACATACACATCCGGTAGACCTCAAAATACTCTAAAGCTGTAAAAAAATACCTCATTATTTCTAAATTTTACTGATTTCTGAAACTTTGATTAAGAATTTGATTATTTTGGGTTGTATACAGCTCCAGGTGAGTTTCTGTGTTAACTAGAAGTTTTTCTTAATTATTATAACCTTTTCTGAAGGATAAAATTACTATAAATCAAAGATCTTTTAATCTTACAGCTTAAAAACTGAATATTTAATTTTTTTTATTTAAATATTTGTTCACAGGTGGCCAGAGTCACGTTCCGTTGTCTGACCAGCAGGAGGAGGAGGAGGATGAGACGGATGTGTCTTTAATCACTGGAGCTCTGCGAAGCCAGAATCTGAACCGGGACCCTGCAGAACCCTCGTCTGGATCTTCTGTGGTCCTCAGGAACCAGACTCTGACTGTAGCCAACACAAACTCAGCCGGTACGACACAAACACCTGCTGCAGTAGTTAACTCTAGATTTATTGGAGAATTTCACACAAAKAGAGCAGTTTTTTTTAACACTTAAAGGATTTGTATCAAACCAGCGGTCACTGGGTCAGGGACCTGTACCGGCCTGGTTATCAGTTGGGACAGAACCACGCAGAAACAAAACAATACATAAATTAGTCGACACAGTATTTTATTTTAAAATACATTTATTCATTTACAGTTACTTACTGAATTTGATTTAAGCGCTGTTATTTTTATGTAGGAACTGACTCATAAGCTAATGCTAGTGCTAACCCTTCCAAACCAGCAGGTAAACTCAAAGCTAGCTCTAGCATGCCTACGAGCTAATGCTAGCACACATTTAAGATAACCATGACAAGCTAACTCTACCAAACCTACAGGTAAATCTAAAGCTTACCCCATCATTAATACAAGCTAACCCTAGCARGCTCACAAGCTGGGGTTAGCTTGAAGGGTAGTGTTAGCTTGAATGTGCACTAAGATTACCTTGTTATGGTTATCTTAAAAGCGTGCTAGCATTAGCTTGTAAGTGTGCTGTGGATGATCGTAGTACACTCACAAGCTAACCTCTGCATGCTTTTAAAACATTTCTTTTCAAAACCACCTGCCAGCTGGGGTTAGATTAAAGGTGTGCTATGATTGTTTTGATAGCGTGCTAACATTAGCTTGTAAGTGTGCGATCATAGCACAACCCTAGTGTGCTTTAAAGCTAATGCTAGCCTGCCTTAAAGTTAACCATAAGAGCTAACCGCAGAAAAACTGTTAAAAACTAGCTTAGCTTAAATTTTACCCTGCTGTTCAGTAGGAAAGTTGTTTTTAATGAAGGCAATATGTGATGCAAATAAAAGTTAGTGATGTTTGTATGAAACTCATTAATTGAAATTATTWTTTTTTTTAGCGTGTTTCCTGGCAGGTCGGAGCTGGCGTGGTTTAGAGCCGAAGCTGGGCGAGACGCCGGTGGTGAAGGCAGTGGAGGGCAGGAGAGGCATCGCCATCGCCTATGAAGAGGAAGGAACATCGTGACAATTCAGATTATTTATTCATTTAAATGCGTATCAAACCTGAGTGATTATTAAATGATTTTCTTAAATAAAAGGCTGGGTTTTGTTTTTACCATCAAAGTCTTTACAGTGTGGAGTTACTGTCCGTTCACAGGAAGCTGTTCCACAAAAGCTGCAGGAAAGATGCCCGTGTTGCCGTTACACTGCCCCTCCAACCAGTCCTGGTTCACTGAGAGAGAGAGACCAGGTTAGACTAAAATAAATTAATTTAATGTATTTTTATGTTACTGGGAGTCGGACCTCTGGAGAGCAGTTTGATGGTGTCACCCTGGGTAAAGTTCAGATCCTCCGGGTTCGAGGACTCGTAGGAGTGAAGAGCCACGAGCTGGATCTCCTTCTGCGGTTAAGAATTATAGATTCATAGAAAAACAAAACAAAAATYTGTCCATGTAGAGATTCAATGTAACTMTTATAGAAACATTTACCTCTTTGGTTTGGCACCACAGGGTCAGGCGCCCCCCAGAGGCCCGGCTCCACAGATCCTTCAGCTCCGGGTCAGTGTGGATCAGCTGCTTTCCTCCTGAGTCTGAGCTGAAGTTCAATTAAATAAAATAATAAAAAATCAGTAGGTAAACTACATGAGGTGTGTTAAAAATAATAAACGTACCTTAAGCAGACGGCAGCTGAAGGCAGGTTCAGCTTCTTGCTGATTTTCCCCAGCAGGACCAGGTAAGGAGACCCAGGAGGTATCGAGACCAAGAAGTTGAACGTGAACCGGATTTTCACCAAACATGAATTGTTTCTTGGCTGCACCACCTGATAATAAGAGGAGCACATAAATTTCATTAATTTAGTCAACATTTTAACTTCATAATGTTTAATGTTGTCCTACCTTTGTCTGGCTCCTCCCACTGCTCTCACCTGGAGTCAGACCTGACAGGAAGTTAAAAAAAACAGGTTTATAAACACTAACGTTGGTTTCTTAAACTGTGTTCTTGTGATCTACCTTGGATCCTCTCAGGTCTGATTGGTGGATCGTGACTRGGAGGTCTGGTTAAACCCTGATGATGTCATTTTTCATAGAAAATACAGAAAATAAATTAAATGTAGTAAATATACAGTCAACAGTTTGGATATACTGTAGTGTAACTTAAGTAAAACTTTRAATAAAACATTTTAAGGGAAAATTGAGAGAAAATAAACTTTTAGATCTATTAAAATAAGAATTTATACAAGTATAAAATAAAAATCTTTACCCTGTTTTGTTGAGAAGCCACTGAGATTTCCAAACGTTCCAGGTAATTATACGGAACGAGTCCCCTCTGTAATGAACAACACGCAGATAAATACAATCACTTCAGATCAGTAGAAAAACTAGAAAGTTGCTGGAAAAAAAGAGTCAATCCAGTTTTTTGGGACTCACTTTTGTAATAACTTAAACTAAGACTATTTCAGACTTTTARTTTGAAAATGATCTAACTTTGGGTTTAAATTTCAACCTGTTTATCTTTTACAGTTTTCTAGGCTCAAATATCGAATTCTGTTCAGATTTTTATTAATTTGTTCTTAATTTAAAGACTCTGTTTTTATCTTTAATTTGTATGTTTTATAAAAACGAATTAGTATGAAAWCTATGGAGCTAAATTTAGGCCATAAAGTTCATCAAAAAAAAATTAGCTAAGAGTTCAAAACTCATTGTATCATATAATTAAATTTCATTTGGCATGTCATTTTTAGTATATAATCATAATTACCAATGTATGGCAGGCTGTTGTCATGTATAATTAATTAATGATGTACAGCAGGCTGTTATATTTATAATAAAGCTGGTCGTATCATAATTGAAAAATATAGCAGGATGTTGTGTCATATGATCAAAAGTATACCTTTTTTCTAGTTTGAAATTTGGTCTAGCTCTGGTTTATGCACACACATCCTGACGTATTAACATGATTTAGTGTATTTTATTTTGACAGAGTCAGATTAGCTGAGGAGCAGCAGCAGGTTTTAATCTCACTCTCTCGTTGAAGACCACGTACGCCCAGTTGTCGGCTCCCTTCTGCAACACAAACACGATGTTTCCCGGCACCACGGCCAGCTCGTCGCTGGTCTCAGGGACAAACTCYAACAGCACGGTGTGGGGCTCGCCCTCTAAAGCTCTGAGGAACAAGACGGTCAGATCTCACATCAAACAGAATCATGTGTTGGAGGTTTCCACAGCCTGGACTCGACCCGTTTACCTCAGCACCTCTGGTTCTCTTGGAGCAGCTGGACCACCTTCAACCTGAGGATCAAACGTTCAGTTAATGGTTGACACGAGCACATTTGAAGCTCAGAACCAGCTCAGAGCTCTCCAGAACAGAATGTTTTCAATGTTACCTGTGGTTGTAAAGGTGCGAACCCAGAGAATTCATCTTGAGGAACCACAGAAGCAACAACCTGAAGACAAAACAAGTTCATGTTTGGTTCAGTCTGTCAGTGCTCAGTAGATGTGTTGAGGAGGACTTTCAGCTACTACCACGTCAACTTTTAACTGAATTTCAGACATTTTTTTGTGTTAAAATCTGATTAACTGGCAACTTTTTTTAAAATTAACTGCAAAAGTTTCAGGAATCTTAGATATTTTACTGACATGACACGAGCACACATAGACAAAACCGCTGTAGCCCATAATTACGCTGCCGGTAGTAATAAACTATGTGGCTTGAAAGAGCTTCAATGATGTATTATTGTCTTAAAATAAGCATATACTGCTTTAAACTACATTTCCCGTAATGCATTTTTAATATTTTACTCATGTAATGATGGCCTCCCACCACCAGGTGAAGCTGAAGTAGGTTCATTGCAAATTCACTGTGTAAAATCCACATTTCGACGGCTACTTTTGCTGCAGTCCAGTTGTACTGGGAAGTGGGAATTTTCCACTTACAGGTTTGTTTGTTTGTTTATGTCAATCATGAATTGAAATATGAGTATAAAGCAACAGGTCATCCAATAATAATAATAAAAAATCCAATAATAAAAAAAGATCTAATAAAACAATAGAAAAGAAAATAGAAAAAAACAAGTCATCTAATAAAAAAAACAAAAAATAAAATAAAACAATGATGCATACAAAATTAAAATGTCATTAAAAAGAAGTCATGAATGAAAAGGTCATATATTTAAAATGAAACGCCCCTCTAGAGGGAACTTCCTGTTGGAAAGTGGGAGTTCAGAATTCAAGATGGCAGCTGCTCCTCACAACTCAACAGTGAGTAAAACTCTTACTTTTACTTTTAGTAGTATTTCTGTTGTATTTTTTTTCACGTCCAGTCAGTCGTACACGTAGTGCTTTTCAGTGTTTATATGCGGTTAAAACACTGTTTCTGTGCAGGAAACACCAGGTAGAGCTCAGTTAGTGTTTGTTAGCGGTGCTCAGGAACGTGATGTTTTGTGTTTCGTTGAAGCTCATGTGTCCCTGTGTGAAAATGACCCCATGTTTTAGTGTTTTTACCTTYGCTTTACCCAGGTAGTCTTTTTTCTCCAGCTCAGCCACGTAGTGCTTGTTGGGTTTYAACAGCGTCTTCGAAGGGAACTCGATTAGTTTGAAAGGTTTCTGTTTCTGTCAGGAAAATAAAAACACAAACAAACAGGAATTTATTAAATTATTTCTTCTTCTCAAAGATGTTTGTAGACGATAACTTCAGAAACAACTGGAACAAAAACGCATTAATGGGACTAAAAAAGGCCTGTTTATAAAACTTAGATTAGTGAGGATGGGATTAGATAATTCGTTAGGTTAAATAAAACTGAAGATAAGCTGATAATCCTGGTCTGAACTGACCAGGGTGGACTGCAGAGCTCGGTCGATGATGCTGAGTTTGGCCTCCGTCTTGTAGTCCAGCGCCTTGACCAGGTTCTCCTGGGCCTTTTCCCACTTACCCTGCTGAGCCTCAGACAGGGCCACATTATGGAGGACCTGCGACAGGAAGTGATGTAATAACACTCAGATAGTAATTTAACCCGTKGGGTCATTAAAATCACTGGAGTGGGATTAAAACTAGAACAAAAACTAAAATGTTTTATGGAGATGTGAGTTAAAGARGACTTCCTGTTTGAAGAGGAAACTCTGAGCTCAGATACGATGCAAGTCGAGGGCAGTTCTGGTGATTGTGTAAAAACTGTTGAAGATGTCAAAAGTCCAACTTTCTGTGAGCAGTTTCAACTTTGAACTGCGGAGCTACAAACAGGGCTGAGTGAAGAACACCTGTCTCAACTGATTCATGTTTTTATAGGAAAATTTAGCAGATTTTTGTTTTGGTTGTTGGATTTAATGCTAAATTAAAATAATAGGACGCTTTAACTCCGCACTGAATCCCTTTTTGATGTAGTTTATCAGCTGCAGGAGAGCTGAACCCAAACTGTTATGAAAATGGACAAATTCCAAATAATATTAGTGTCTTCCTGAGCTCTGAAATGTTTGAGCTTTGGAGCTAAAAAAGAGGGATAGTTTTTATTTGTCTGTCCCTGTAAATGGCAACAATGAAAATACAAGTTTCTTTCTGTCCAAGAGAGGAAAAACAGGTGTGAAACTCTCACCTCACAGGTGTACAGGATGTATCTGAGACCAAGAGCTTTATAATCTATCAYCTGGTTGCCCCTCAGAGCTTTGAAAGCTCTTTGGAAATCAGATGAACTCTCCTCAAACCTTTGAACAAAAACAGGGACAGTCGGTTATTTTTGCACATCTCAAACCAAACGATGGATAGACTCTGATGTTTTACACCTTTTCTTTTTGTAGAAGGTGATTCCTCTCTGAAAGAAGGCCACGGCCAGATGTTCATCCTTGCGTATGCTGCAGTCAAATGCCTGAGAAACGACAGAAAGAAGCTCTAACTTCCTCCAGAAGAGCAGAAAGGTGGAACTTCTTCTTTCACAGTGACTTGCACTTTGCAGAGGCAGGTGTCGCCTCGGCCTCAGCAGCACAATCCAGATGTTTTCACACACAGACAACAGCTTTWATAACGTCAGGCCGTACCTTCTCTGCAGCATTCAAGTCCTGGTCCAGGAGCTGGAGGCAGCCGATGTTGAAGCAGATTTTGGAGTTAGGGTCTTGGATGGACAGGAAGACCCTGAGTGCCTCTGACCAGTCCTGTCTGTCGGCACAGGTCACAGCCTCGTCCCACTGCCGCAGAGTGTCCACAAAAGACATGTTGACAGCTCGCTGCTTCGCTCACACTGAATTAGGGAAGTTCTTCTGATTTGTACCACTAAATCAGGAAGTATGACAACACATGGTTGAGTAAACAATGCATGAGCAATACATGTTAACCTAATAAAGAAAAAAAAACTGAAGTTATAAAAAGAATATGAGAACTGCTGCTTATTTCTCATTAAGGAAGTTTTAAACTGAAGTTTCTTCACAACAGCTGGAAGATCAGAAATTTAACATGTATGCCTTTTGCAACACTAGCTCATTAAATATTTTRAAAGACACTTTAGTTTTGATCATTTTCTTGATTTTTTTTTAAGAATGTTGACTATAAATTTTTTCTGTGCATCTGAACATATTTTAGCCTGTTTAAAATGTAGTTTTCTTGTTTTGGCTTGTGTTTTACGTTGCCTTTCTGATTCATTGTCCATTTTGTCCATTTTCTAAAACAAATCTGATATTAAAACACTTTAAGTTGCTTTTATTTGAATGAAATGTGCTTTATAAAAAAGCTGCTTTCATTAAATTAGCCTAATTATCTTTAAGCAAGGAAGCTTGGGCAGAGGTAATAAAACTTTTTAAACTTACAAAAAATTAAAATAATAATTAAAAGCATGTAATATAATAATAATAATAATAATAATAATAATAATAATAATAATAATAATAATAATAATATATTATTATTATTATCATCATCAGTAGTAGTACACAAAGTTTATTTCAGATGTTTTTGGCAAACATCCTCAACAAACTACCTTCCTGTCTGTCCCCTTAAAAATAAACTCTTCTAAATAGGCTTTACCATCTAGTTACAAATTAATACGCATTTTGTTATTAAATTATGCATCAAACACGTATCTCTATATCCAATAACGAGTAAATTATGTCATTTGTGAAAAAAATATTTACTTTGCTTCGCTTTTAAATAGATCGAGATTTTGTTTTGAAAGGGTMAAAGTTGTATTTCCGGTAGCGCTGCTAGCTAAACAAACAAACATGGCGCCGCTACATTACCCGACAAGGGATCTTTACGATACGTAGAACAAATGTAAAAATAAGAAATGTGACACATAATAAGAACCATGCCATGTTTGATATGACTGTAAATAAATAGTAGCTACCKTTTTTTGTTTTGCTAGCTCGGAGCACTTTTTTGTTGCCGTGTTTACATCCAGCTAGCTCCACGGTCGGCTAACAGAAGCTAACAAGATGAACCTTGGAACAATGCTGTACAAGAATTTAAAAGATGTTACATGGAGCTCGACGTCTTTACCTTTAGATCAGCTCGTCAGTGCTTATAAGCTGCCCCAGATTGTCAAGCTGGAAAGCGGTCAGTGATGTTGTCATGCTAAGTTTGTAAGCTAGCTTAGATTTTAGCTGAAAACAAACAAGACTGACGAATAATTTGGCCAGTTTTGACTTTAGTTTTTAAAATTTAAACAATATTTTCACGACTTTATTTAGTCGTTAAAGGCTGTATCTCCTCAACAAGTCATGCTTTATTACACTTTATTAACAGTTTTATAATAATACATGGTTGCTTTGCTTACATCCACAGAATGCACCAAATTCTGTCATTACAGTTCAGGAATTAAACAAGACGTCAAAACACTTACTACCTCCTCAAAAATGAGTTTAAGTCGATTCAGAAGAATATATTGGGTAAAAAACCCCGCTATAAGACATATAATTAGCCAGAATCAATTTGTAAAAAGGCAGTTTCATGTGTTAATGTTTTTAGTGTYAAAAGGGACCTTTTTAGACAAAACCTGTAATTATGAACATGTTGAAGAGGATGAATAAATTAATGAAACCAGGAAACATTTGTAAAACTGGAAGCACCAGATAGAGTTATACTCAAACTAAATGAATTGTGATGTTTTGTACAGAACCTGATCGTTTGGACTGTTCTGTTAAAGCACCTGTGACATCATATTTATGTAGATAACATAGATAACATACTGTAACAAAGATTTCACGTCACTGAGGTGAACAGCTGTTGAGATAATTGCATGTGAAGAAACAGGAAGTGATGTCAAAGGGGAATGTCTGAATGTAAACAGCACTGCTACTATAGCCAACAACAGACTGTAAAGAATCTGATGTTTCTTTAGTTAATTTTAATCACAAAGAGATGAGGAGGAGTCGAAAATATTGTTTAAATAAACAAAAACCAGGAAGTTTTCTTTCTCAAAGAGTTGATGTCACTTCCTGTTTCACTTTAACTTAGTCAAATAAAATAAAATAAAAAACAATTATGTGATATAACAGTACAATCATTTATAATTATGCCAAGTTCCTTAAATACAAATATATTTTCTTTGGCTTTGGATATGCATATAGGCACTTTAATGTTTGTTTGTATGTTGTTTTTTTGCAGGTCAGTTGGTGGAAGGGCTCAGGGACAACGACTACCTCTTGATTCATTCCTGCCGTCAGTGGACAACCATCACCGCTCACAGTTTGGAGGAGGGACACTACGTGATCGGACCCAAAATAGAGATCCCAGTTCATTATGAAGGTAAGCTCTGATTAAAGAGGCAAATCTAACCACGTTTCCCATTTTTATTTCTACTAAWTGTTTATCTTTTTCTTGCTTTAGGTCAGTTTAAGCTGCTGGAGCAGGACAGAGATGTCAAGGAGCCGGTGCAGTACTTTAACAGTGTGGAGGAAGTGGCCAAAGCGTTTCCTGAAAGGGTTTACGTCATGGAGGAGATCACGTTCAACGTTAAGGTACGTTTAATCCTTCTGATTTGTTAAAATCTCTCAGCGTGTTTACAGCTGATGAAACATGTTTATCTTCACAGATGGCTTCAGGTCAGTGCAATGAAGACACAGAGGTTTACAGCATAACTCTAAGCACCGGCGATGAGCTGACGCTGATGGGCCAGGCTGAGATCCTCTACGCCAAGAGCTCCAAGGAGAAATCACGACTCAACACTATTTTTAAGAAGATCGGCAAGCTGAACTCCATCAGCAAGCTGGGCCGGGGCAAGATGCCCTGCCTGATCTGCATGAACCACCGCACCAACGAGAGCCTCAGCCTGCCCTTTCAGTGCAAGGGCCGCTTCAGCACCTGCAGCCCGCTGGAGCTCCAGATGCAGGACGGCGAGCACACCATCAGGAACATCGTGGAGAAGACCCGGCTCCCAGTCAACGTGGTGGTGCCCAGTGCGCCGCCCCGCAACCAGCACGACCTGCACCTCATCCGGGAGGGTCACCGCTACAAGCTGGTGAACGTCCAGACCAAGACGGTGGTGGTGTGCTGCGTGCTGCGCAGCAGCAGCATCGTCCCTGTGCACTTCCCCTTCCACGTGGCCATGCCCAGGTTCATCGTCCCCGAGGAGCTGCTGCAGGGCGAGCTGTGGCTGGACACCATGGTGCACCGCTGGTTCTCCTTCTGCCAGGAGCAGTTCGACATCGACGATTACTCCCGCGCRGTGCGTGACGTGCGCACCGACTGGAGCGACGACGGCAAGAGCCCCAAGAAAATCAGCTGCAARGGAAACTGCAGCGGCAACAACGGGTGTCCCAACCACGTGCAGGTGCCCAGCTCCCTGACGTACGCTCGAGAGGAGCTCACYCAGTCCTTCCACCGCCTGTCGGTGTGCGTGTACAGCAGCAACCTGCACGGCAACAGTGAGGTCAACCTGCAGGGCTGCATGACGCTGTGTCCAGACTGGGCCCCTCTGGGTCCTGACGGCAGCTACTCAGAACCCGGAGAGAACAGGCACTCGTTCCCGGAGCAGCTGGACGGCAGCGCCCAGCACCCGTACATGAACCGGCTGGACGTTCAGTACGAGGAGGTGTGGACGGACCACCTGACGGGGCGGAGCTCCCCCACTGAGGGAACCAGAGACGTCATCGACGACTACGCTGCGCCGGCTGTGCTCTCCTACCCGCTCACCTGTCCTCTCGGTGACATCACCAGTCTAGATGTGCCTCTGACTCCGCCCCCAGTCCCACCCAAATCTGAAGCTGTGAGTAGATTCCATAAAACACTCTGTACCTCTTTAAAAACACCTTTCAGCTAAAATCAAACTGTTTCTCTTGAAGTTTTTGTGTCTCTAAACATCTCAATAAGCAGCTCCCAAACATTTAACGACCCCAATCTTTGGTTAAAGTACGCAAATAATGTACGGTAGTCAGGTCATTTAAACAAGTGTATAGTGACAAAAACACCATTTTATTGTTTGAACAGACTTAAAATCTGGTTCTTCTCATAATAATCCTTTTCTTTTTGGTTGAAGATGTTTTGCTTTGATTGTGAGGAACTTTGTTACTTCAGACTCTCAGCTGAGTTACAAAGACGTGTTGTCTGTAGGGCTGGACGACGTGGCTGAAAAATGTATCACAATAAGTGATAATTGTTTAGTTTTTTAGTTTTATCTATTCTAAATAAGGACCAGGAGAGAAAAGGGTGAATTTAAATACTTCAATTTTAAATGCTAAGCTTTAAAAAGAGGCCAACACAAGTATGACAATCTGTCAATAAATCATCATGTCCTTCACTAATTAAGACACTTCATTTGTTGTTTCTAATGTTTTCTCGTATAGAAGTGCAGCAGAACACTGCTCCATGGCTGTGACAGTTTGATGCTGCTGTTCTCCAATAGATGGGAGCGTCTGCAGAGATAAATTAAATTTGTCTTAATAATCTAACCTAAAATATCCAAAATACTGCCAAACTGGTGACATGACTTCCTCTTTTATCCAGTTTTCTCTCGAGTCGTTGCCTCATTTTTTCCTTTCACTCCACTTTCTTTATTTTTTTTTAAAGGGATCCATGATTAGTTGTAACATTAGACTTTATTTGATAAACATTTATTTTAACTGTAAAATAAAGACTATAAAAATACTGTAGGATGTTTAGTTTTTATAATTTTTAAAAATATATTTTAATACGGACGGAGCCATTTTATTTACACACAAAGCATTCTGGGTAAATGACGACGTGGATAGGTCCTCGGTGCGAGGCTGCTAGCGAGCTATATCCACCCTGAAGGTTAATCTTGGACAATATCTGATGATCGACTCTTTTAAATGAAACCAGAGAGCGTTGACAGAGAGGAGAAGGTAGAAATGACTCAGCCTGGAACTGAAAATATGGACGGAGGACCTCTGTTTAGCTTGTTTGTCGCGCTAGCGCTGAGCTAATACATATAAGGCAATGTAGCATCGGCGCTAACACTGAAACTAACAAGCTAAGCTGAGATGGTTCTTCCATGAAGCAGCTCTGTTGTCCTGATGTTGTCGCATGAAACTGTGCATGTTAACAGGTTGTTGCTAGCTTATYAAATAGTYAGTTAGCTGATGCTCTGTGTCCAGCCCTMTTTATAGGAGATAATTCCACTCCCTGCCATCCTGAGGGTCATTATGATGTCAGCCTGCTCTTTAGAAGAGTTATGTTCTCTCCTACTTTGTTCTTTCTCCTCAAAGGAGAAAACCCAACTTTAAACAGTGGGTCTGAAACAAGTCCACTAACGACACTCAGGAGGGCAGGGAGTGGGATTAACCAGCAGTGTTCCCATGTGGGCGGGTCTTAACGTGAGGCAGCWGCTGAGTGGTTGGTTGTAATTTACCATGTAAAGTAACTGGAGTGTGGTTCAGGTGAAGGAGGAGTGTCGCCTGCTGAACGCTGCTCCACCGGTGCCTCCTCGCAGTATGAAGCAGTTGCCCTCAGTGACCCTGATGAAGCCCCAGCAGCAGCAGGACGCTCGCTCTCAGAGTCCAACTCTGTCCTATTACTCGTCTGGTCTCCACAACATGTAAGACACTTCATCAGACCTGACYCGTGTTAATGTACCAGCTCATTAATATTTGTTTTTATATTTCCAGAGGAGCGTGTGAGCAGGAGGGAGGTGACCTACCAGAGCAGTGCCACGCCTGTTACCCCTGCCCCTGGGGTGGATCCAACACCGAACCACGTGCCGTTTCWCCGTGCGGCGACCTGCTGCTGTCCGACAGCGTCTCGTCACGTTTGTCCTGGCCCAACAACTTCAGCGGAGGAGACTCACGCCGCGCCGAGGAGTTCCAGCCCCCCAGCTCCCGGAGCTACTACAGCTACCCCAGGAAGAGGACCCCCGGCGCCCCGAGGACCTGCACCTCCTGCCTCGTGGACTACGACGGGCGGGAGCACGCAGTGTGCAGAGACGACGGCTTCCAGAAACCCAACCAGATGTGCACCAAGTCCTCGAGCTGCCACTCAGAAATGTACAGAGACAAGCCCATAGAGGAGTCGAACACTAAGCAGAGCCTCTCCTGCCCCTCGCTGCCCCCCAGGACCCCCAAACCCAACGCCACGAAGACGTGCGCCGATTTACTGCCAGAGAACCTACCCGACACCCGACAGGATGCTGGCACGCCCTCGCCTCCCCCAGACTCTACCAGTCCTTCGGCCTCGCCCCCCGCCGAGTGGCAGCCGCCCTTAAACCTGGCTGGGGTCTCCATCGAAGAGGTCTCCAAGTCCCTGAAGTTCATCGGGCTGCCGGAGGACATCGTTGGTCTGTTCGTGTCAGAGAAGATTGATGGGAACCTCCTCCTGCAGCTCACCGAGGAGATTCTGTCCGAGGACTTCAGACTGAGCAAACTGCAGGTGAAGAAACTGGTGCAGTTCATCAACGGCTGGAGGCCCCGGATCTGACCAGAATCTGACCAGGATCTGACCAGGATCTGACCAGGATCTGACCAGGATCTGACCAGGATCTGACGGTAGAAAACACTCAACTGTGAAGCTGAGAACACAAAGCCTTCAGTACGTCACGCTATGCACATGAACACACCAGGAGCTTTCATTTTCTAACATATGAACTGTTTCCTGTTCAAATGTTACGAGAAGACAAGAGTTCATTCAACAACCGTTTGGCACTTTGATTCAAAAAACTTTTTTTAAGCCACAGCTCTTTAAAATAAATGATTCTTAACTTAATTTTAAAGTTAAAGTATGAACTTGAGAACATTTTAGGGCCATAATTTAACACTAAAAGGCTTGAAGAGAAGCTAAACAATGAAGGCAATAATGAGCTAAAATGCTAAAATATGCTAATTTTTGGTTTCTGTTTGAGTCAGAACATGTTACTGTTAAACTAGAGATAGACTGATTATTTGGTCGATTGATTTACTCCTTTTTTTAAATAATACAGTTACACAAACCTTTCACTCACAGACAAAAGAATATTTGACCATTAAAAAAAAAAAAAAACACATTTAGCTGAAAACGTGATAAAACCAATTCAAACATAAGACTAAATCCCCTCCAGTTACCATTATCTCATCTACTGATTGTTAGAAACCAGTAGATTATAAAAATTGACAAATAAACTTATTAAAAACCAAAACAAATCATCCTAGTTTATTGAATATTGGCCACTGAAGAGTCCACTTCAAGTCCAGCCCCAGACTCACTGCTGGAGACTCAAACTTGACTCAGTATTGTGAGAAAATAAGCAAATTTTATATTTTTTAAGAACTGATCCAAGAAATCATTCATAGTTACATATAATAAAGGTCTCATTTTAATGTGATTCCAGGTAAAAAAAAAATATTTTCTCGACCAACAGTCATGACGCAGTGAGATAAAAGCTTAAATAGAAAAATTAAACAGTTTAAATTTAATTCTGATGGTTTTAAGCTCCAGGATTCGTCTCCACTTATTGTTTTTCATCTTTTCTTGATTTTATTGGGGGTACGTTTTCTAATAAGATGAAAAGAGTGGAGCTGAGCTGTGATGTTGGGGATTAAACACGTGTTTAACTCTGGSTTAAAGCAACATGAACAAAAACAACCTTTCTGTAAAATCAATCTGTTTAATGTCAGAATGTTAGTTTATTTCTGGTTTTTGTTTTTACCGTCTGTAAAACTACAGAGCTCTTTATATAATGTTTTGTTTCTGTTTGTTTTAGTCAGAAGTTTCTTCCTCTCATCAACAACATGAATGTCGTATTAATTTACAGATTTATTTGAACCGTTCTTTTTCCAGTGGAATGATTTTATAAAATATAACTTTTGGGGTTTTTAACAACTAGAATTTGGTGCAGAAGTTTGAATTGATTGATCCACACAGGCTCTWTTAAACACCTGGACTTTTAGGCTTTTAGTCTCCATCATGAAGCTTCACACACATTTCTGGCTGATGTTTGATCAGTTTTCTTGAGGGCAGAGTTCATTTAAAATGGTTGTTTCCTAAAAATATCAGTTTTTAATCAGAGTTGAGTTCGGTGCTTTGTTGTTAGCTTGGTTTATCCAATCAGAATTCATCATCATTCATCATCGTTTAGCTGTTGATTCAGTATAAATTAAAGAATTTGGAGGTACTCTTTGATTATTCTCTCCACAGTCACCAAACATGATGCTTCCACCACCGTGCTTAACAGCTGGTTCATCTCGTTCGTCTCACCCAAGAGTCACAGTTAGGGTCTTCTTCAAACATGTGCACCAAACGCTTGTTTTTTTTAAATTAAAAACAAAAAAAAAAACTTTCACTCTAAAAGAATGATTCAAATAAATKATTAAAAGCTCCAAATGTACATGACTAAACTCGACAAGTCAAATAACTCAGACTCTAACATGGAAATAACAGAACAAAGGTACGAAGGTGTATTAAAGGTCAAAATCTTTACATAAATCTCAGAAATCCCAACATTAACGTCAAATATTTACAGGAAACAACTCAAATAGTCTTTTACGTTGAAAAGTCTTACATTAACAAGAAAAATTATCTTTAAAAAGAAAGTCAGAATTTCCAGGAAATAATCTTTACAAGAGAAAAAACGTTAATTTTTTAACTAAAATTCAATTTTGCAAGAAAAACACAAAAGGTTTTAGTTTTTCTTTGTAAATTTAGCACTTATGTTAGATCATATCTGGATGGGMTTTTTTTGTTGTAAATTTTTGATTTTAATACAACATGTCATATTTTTTGCTCAATATTTAAACACTCAGTAAATATATGACTTTAATCTTGAACATTTCAACTTATTGCTCCCAAATTCTTGTAAAGAATCATGAAAAATTCAGCTTTTTTCTTTTTAAATGGATGACTTTTCAAAATAAGAGAAAACCTGAATGTTTGACAGTTTTAATAAAATTTTATTGTTTTTTTGACGTGTCGTTATGGTAACAGATCAAAATGTCAGAAAACACAGATGAAGCACTTTGGKAGACTGGAGTTATAGTAAATGCAGTACCAGAGGGTAAATATAAACTTGTTAAAGTGTCTTTGTAAAGAGTAAATGCACTACTTTTTGGTTTTTATTTCAAACTGCAGCGGTACGTGTTTTTACGTTTTCTCTGCGCCTTAACCTGAAGCCCTTAAGATGTTTCACCTGAAGAGGATAAAACTGACGTGTTTCTGTGGGATTCAGCATTTCTGCATTATTTACGGTGATGTTTCTGCGCCTCTCGGTTTAATACTTGTCACCATGGATTGTTACATCTTTTATTTTTTTTAATAATTACTAATGTTGAGATTACTTTTGTTGTTTTTTTACTGTGTAAATGAGTTTTTGAAAACATCTGGTCACAAGCTGTAAGCCTCAGTCACATGACACCAACAGGAAGTGGCCTTCGTCTAACTGCAGGTGAAGTCTTATGCAATAACAATAAGTATTAAACCTGCTGTGGTGTTGATCTGAGGCCCAGAACTGAGCCGATCGGGCCCGGTTCTGATAAWCCAGCCTCACTAAGCCGTTAATACAGAAGGAGTTCTGGGATGTTTGGATTTCTCTGAACAGAGTTCTGGTCCAGAACCGGAGGATAAAGACTGCTGCTGGACCAGAGAAACCTGGAGTTTTGAAGGGTTTTTGTTCAGTTTGACTGTTTCTTTATTTTTGATGGTTAAAATCTATTAAAAATGGATCAACTAGTTCTGTTCTTGTCCTTCTTGGTCCTAAATCGACATAAATTAACTCAAAGTTTGACTCGGACCGACTGGCTTTCTGATGAGAAATAAGACAGGAYGGATAAAACATAGCTTTGTTAGCTAGCCTTTTGCAACATTTAGCTTTTACTRGTGTCTGGTGATTGACTGGAGACCTGTCCAGGTGTCCCCCCACCTCCCACCCTCAGACCATTGGAGACACCAGGTCTCTGAGACCCAGAAAGAAAACGCGGGTAAAGAAAGAACGGATTGATGGTTCGGCTCATTTTAGCTGTTACCTAACCTTTTGTTATTTTAAGTAGCATTTTTGCTACATGTAACTTTTACCTAGCCCTTGGCTAAATGTAGCAAAAGGCCTAGTTTTGTATTGTGCTTGATTTTAGCTAGACTTTAGCTTTCTTTAGTTAACCAAACTTTTTGCTACATTTGGTTGTTAACTTGCATTTTGCTAGATTTAGCAATTAGCTAGTCTGTTTCTTTTTATTAGGATATGTTTATTTTTAGCTTTACCTAGCCTTTTGATACATTTTGGTTTTGAACTAACATTTTGCTACATGTAGCTTTTATCTAGTGTTTGTTTTTTATATTAGCATTTGGCTATTTTTAATTTCTATCTTGCCTTCTGCTACTTTTAGCTAGTGTGTCATTTTAGCTAGTTTTTGGCTACTTTTAGGATTTTCACAGCCTTTTGCTACATTTTTKTTTTACCTAGTCTTTTGCTTCTTTATATTAGCATTTGGCTATTTGTAGCATTTACCTCACGTGCTGCATTTAGCTTTTAGCTAGTGTTTTGCTATTTTTTTTACTTTAACGAGTCAGTTTTGGCTTTTCAGCATATTTCAGCAGTCATTTATTAATTTAAATAAAAAGCTATTTTATTTAACAAAAAGCAGCTTAAAACTGTAAAATAATTCTCTCTTGAATTAACCAAAGTATTTTAATTTATTTAATCTAAACAGCGATTTTTCACATTTGTCCAGAACAGTAATTTAAAAAATCCAGTTTTAGTTATTATCAGTTCTTTTAGTTCCTTTTATAAAGGTCAGTAAAAGTGTTGCAACAGTCAGATGACAGAATTAGCTCTTTGTTTGTTTTTTTTTAACTGATTTCAGATCAGATCTGAGGCTGGTCAGGAACAAGAACGGGTCGTTGGTTCTGCTTCTGCGGAAACTTAGAGCTGCTGCTTCCTGTCTTACATCAGCAGAGACTCTTACGCTTCGAATGTGATGAAACTTCTGTTTTTTATCCTCCAAACACTAAATGAGTAAAACAGCAGCTGAAGCAGACCTGTATTTATCTTCCTGCTTTTTGTTCTTTTCCTCATTAAGTTACATGTTTTTATATTTTTAAATTATTTTACAGAAACCTTAACTACAGCTGATTATGATGCTTTTAACTGATTTAAATCAAAAACACTGAAATATTTTGGATTGAGTCAAAGGTCATCTGAGCCAAAATCAAAAAACTAAATTTATCTGGAAGTTGGATAAAAAATGATCTTTAAATAAACAAACAGTGTTTTTTCACCTTTAAGTAAATCTGTTTGAGAGAAAACAGCCGTCACTCACTGCCATGAGAAAAGGCTGATAATGTAACATTTGTTGTGTCTGTTAGTAAAATATCTCATTAAAACCATTGAACAGATTTTAATAAAAATCATGATGTAAACAGTGAATGAACAAAACAGGTAAACCTCTGGAGCCAACCTGATTCAAGATGGCCGCCTTGGGTGATCAACTTCAGCCAACACAAAAACAGCTAAAACCAGTCAGGTTTACAGACACTGAGCTAAAGTTTGGTGTGGTAGTAGCTGAGAGTCATCCTCAACATGTACTCTGAGTGCTAACATCGTTATTTTAAAACGATGAGTGTCGTTATCTTGTTATAATGAGATAAAAGGTTGTTAACTCAAGATAAACTCAAAAATACATGTCCAAATGTCCTCTGTCAGCTTCCGTACAAACGTCTTTTTCACTTACTTTTAGGATGATGATTTGGATTTGAAGGAATTTGATTAAATCTGTTTTATCTTGCTCCACAAAAAAACAATGGTGCCAATAAGTTTGTAATAAATTGTTTAATTTCCCATTTAATCTTAGTGTTCCAGATTTGTTTGATTTCCCTTATTTTCACCACAAAGGTCCAAACAGAAAAGTCGACACGTCTTTTCCTTCTAACGACTGACGCCTGGACCGTTTTGAACCGCTAAACAGAACCTTCAGAACCACGGCTCCCAGCCTACCCAGACCCTGCCCAGCACATTGGGGTCCGTGGCCTGGTCCAGCAGGCAGTCCACCTGCTTCTCCACAGACAGACCTTCGGTGGGGAGCGTCGCRCGGACGTTGTGCTCCTCCGATCCCAGAGCTACGGAGCGCATCCCCGGGAACGCTGCGTCCTTCTCAAACCCCAGCTTCAGCTCCTCACTGATTAAAAAAAAACAAAAAAACAATTCCACACAATTTATTTATCTGATAACTGAAGAAATGTCCTAAAATGACCTGTCGACACAGGGGAAAACACAGAAGTTAAAGCCTAAACTGCTCTGCTGCCTCCTGGTGGCTGGATGCAGAATAACCAGACAGTTAAATGATTTAAAAACACCTCAGAATATTTTCACATTCATCTTATCTTTCTGCTGTATGTTTAAATATTGATTCTTCTAACATGTTTAGTTGTTAGATGTCTAATAAACATTATGGTGTGTGTAGGTAAGTAGGCGGAGCTTAAAGTTTGCAGAGTTACAACGACGGTTCAGCTCTATGCGATAAATCTTGTGCCAGCAGGAATTGAATTTAAATTGCTCAGATTGAATCTGAATGTGCATAATTTGAAATTTCATTGGTTTGAAAATAAATTTCACTAAATTGAAACTGAATTTAATGGTTTGTATCTGAGTTAATTTGCTTTGAAACTGTTATTTTATTGCAGTGATTAATTTGACCTATATGTAGAAAATGTTACATTTACATCACATCATGGATCAGTCAGCAGCAGCATCTGATCAATATGTGATCCATGATGTGATGTAAATGTAACATTTTCTACATATAGATAAAATTAGTCACTGCAATAAAATAACTGTTTTTGTCACTTTTACATTGGATTGCATCAACTCTGTTACATACAGAAGGGAAACTTCACCAAAGTGAAACATAAATCTGTGGATCTGTGTTTGATTACTCTGCCTGGCTTTCTCAAGGACCAGGATGTGACACAAAAATCTGAATTATGGAACTGAAAGTGAAAGTAGTCAAACTGAATTTTTTAATAAACCAAATTCAGTTTCTAAACAAATTAATTCAGATACAAAACATTAAATTCAGTTTCAATTTAGTGAAATTTATTTTCAAACCAATGCATTCAATTTCAAATTATGCACATTCAGATTCAATCTGAGCAACTCTAATTCAATTCCTGCTGACAAAGGATTTATCCCACAGCTCTGTTTCAGCTGATACCTGGTTATAGCAGCTGGGTTGGCTCCGTCTAGTTTCCTCCTGGRGAAGTTGACCTTCTGCAGAGGGAACCAGTTGATTTCTTTGGTGTCCACGCTCTCCGTCCACGTCCCGCCTTTCTTCAGTTGTTTCACCTCAAAGTTCTGTGAAGTAAACAGTTTATTTATAGTTTTTAAATGAGATAAAACAGAGTTTTTAATCCTCTTCTTAACCTTCCAGTCCAGTAAGGGTTCCTTCACAAACACGTCCATGGTGTTCAGCAGAAGGTCCGGCTCGGCCCGGTAGGCCCGCAGCGAGTGGACCATGATGCTCTGGATCAAACCGGACTCCTTCAGCGGCTGCATCAGACCCACAAACTGTTGGGTCAGCCGGAAAGGCATGAGCTCCGGCACCGGGAGAAACTGAAGAGTGAAACAGGATTTATTCAGCTTCATGTGTCCAAACAGCCAAAACCACTTAATTATCTTTAGCTCAAATGTTATCAACCAAAAGGCAGATTTATAATGTTTCAGTGTCAAAGTTCATTTTTCTGTCTGTTAGCATATCTTATAAATCACAGAATAAGTACATTATTTATAAATATTTTCATAATAAAAATACAGAACAGTAGAAAGCACACTGCCTCTGTTTTCATCTTCTTTAGCTTTGAGSTAACATTTTTTATACTCTCAGATATAAACTAGCCTTTTGCTACATTTAGATAACATTTGGCTTCTTTTAGCTTCTAGCTACCCTTTTGCTACTAGTGTTTAGCTACTTTTAGCTTCTAGCTAGGATCAAGCAAGTTTTAACAAGTGTATTGCTATATTAGGTTTTTAGCTCATGTTATGCTATTATAAGCTTTTAGCTACTGTGTAGCTACTTTTAGGTTCTAAATACCTCTTRACTACTTTAACTATTGTGTGTTTTAGATTATAGCTACTGTGTAACTACTTTCAGCTTCTAGCTAGCCCTTTGCTACGATTTTTAACATTTAGCTAGTGTTTTGGTTCTTTAAGGGGTGGCTGTGGTGTAGTGGTAGAGCAGCCGGCTTTGGGACCTGCAAGTCACAGGTTCGACTCCCCACCATGTCTACATGCCMTTGTGTCCTTGGGCAAGACACTTCACCCACCTTGCCTACTGATGGTGGTCAGAGGGGCCGGTGGCGCAGCATGGCAGCCCCGCCTCTGTCAGTCTGCCCCAGGGCAGCTGTGGCTACATATTTGTTGCTTACTGCCATCAGTGTGTGAA